ATTTACTCATAGAACGAGCAACTACTCTTAGTATTAAAATACATTTTCAACCAACATACTCAACAATGCATCACTCACACAATCCGTAAACAATCTTTTCTAAACCAATTTTATAGATGATAATGTTGGGATTATAGAACTTCCAAAATTTGATGACCTTACGTACTCTTCACCCCAGTGTCATATATAGATCAAAAAATTAAGAGAAAAACTTACTCAAACCATTATCTAATCCACTATACTATTATCCACTCATATTTTGAGTTAAGATTACAAAAATTAGCGAAAAAAACTTTGGAGTATATAAAACCAATAAAATAATTTCATGAAAAAAAACATAAAATAACAAAATATGTTAGTATTAGTAAAAATCAATATGTAAAATTAAATAATATATATAGTTAAATAATAAATATATTATTAACTTGTGAAATAGATTTTTAAATTCATATGGGCCATCTCTCATGGGCTATTGTGTTTTCCCCATTTGACATTTATAATTAGAAGCTGATGTGTAAAAAATAAAAGCTGACTCATATTAATGAAATGTTTTGATTGGATGGAAAGAAAGCTGATGTGGCATCTCCAGAAGAGCCTAAAATGCTGACGTGGCGACCATATGGAGAGAGATAGCCTCTTTTCATATATATGATTCTCTTCTAATTTTCACAAAAAAAAAAAAAATTCTCCTTTTTGAGCAATAGATTTTAATCTTATCTGTGATTAAGAACTTTATTAGTGTGAATGATCTTTTTTGGAGAAAAAGAAGAATTATATAAATGCGAATTTTGTTTTGTGAAAAAATGATTTTTCTGATGATTTTAAAATCGAAATTAAAAAATTATAAATGCCGGAAATTGCAATGGAATGGAGGTGGAGAATCATACGATAAGATTAGCGTGAGTAACAAGGATTCAGGTGGTTACAACAACAATTAACACATAGGTAATGCTTGAATAAATTTTAACCAATCTTATTAAGATGGTTACACGGATCTAATCATCGAAGTATTGCTTAGGTCTTCTCCAAAAGTGATTAAGGATCTGCGTTTGACTAGTCCCTAGAGGAGATCATCATTCTTCATCTTCTCCGCTCTCGAAGATCCTTCGTTCTTATGAAAGTACGAGAGGTTCAGCATAAATAGGCACAAATCCTTTCTTTTTGCTTCTAAGGCCAAGGTGGGTTGGGATTTTACTAGTTCAAGAGTTCTTGACCCAAATCCGACATATTTCCTCTGCTCCTCCTCCTACCGAAGGCGATAGATGGAGTACGCCGATGGCTTCATATGTTCAGGGTTTGGTCAGATCTCTACTGTCATCAACTCTACGACCGGAATGTCTACATCTTTGCCAAAGTTCCCTGTTGAATTTCGTTTCTTTGAGGTCACAACCTACATTGGTTTCCAATTAAGATCTTTGCATCTATGATAGGAAAAAACTGAGTTGCTTGTATGTTTGCGTCTCACAAACGTTCTTTTACCTATGAATATATAAAAACATTCATTGAAGGAAAAATGGGTAGAAAAACCCTCACTTTTCTTAAAAACATAGAAAAAACCCTCAACTTTTTTTGTGGGTTTTTAAACCCTCACCTTTTCATAAATGATAAAATAAACCTTAGTATTAATAAACTTAATTTAAATTCAAACAAATCGTTATATTAAAACATAAATAAATAGAAACAATTTGATTCAGGGTTTTTCTTCTAAAATTCTAATTTATAATATTTTTCTAAATTGAAAATTTTTTAAGTCATGATGTAAAACAGTTAATTAGTGAAGTTTTATTTGGTTGTTTTACAAAAATTCATCAACGTGAAACCAAACAGATTTTGTTACGAATTATATGTAAATTCTTATATCGAAACCGAATATGAATTTATATTAATAAAGGTTTATTAGGTTCGATCACACAAATTTACTAACGTGAAACCAAACCAAATTTTATAATACTACGAAATGTACATGAATTTTCACATCAAAATATTTTCATTGGACAAACTAAATAAGATTTACTAACAATTAATATTTATATATATATATATTAAGATATATTAAATATAATATAAATTATTTTTAATTAATCATTATTTAACTATATTTTTATCCAAAATCTGAACACACGAATTAAAAAAAAAATCAAAAGTGATATCCTATAAATTTTTGTAGTTTATATAACATAACTTCTAATTTTAACAAAAATAATTTGCCTAATCTCAACTAAATGGTGAATGAATTTTCATAACGCAAGAACCCTAATTTTAGAAAGAAAAATCGTAAACTCGAATTTGAAAAAAAAATCATAATTAAATTCTTTTTGTTTCTTACTGTTTTAATATAACGATTTTAAAAAAACATTAAGTTGATTTTATTAATATTAGGGTTTATTTGACCATTTATAAAAAAGTGAGGGTTTAAAAACCCACAAAAAAAGTTGAGGGTTTTCTACATGTTTTTAAGAAATCTGAGGGTTTTTTTACCCACTTTTCCTTCATTGAAATACAAAGTTTGATATAAAAAAAAAGTAATTGAATCATCGTTTAAAAAAATATTTTATTTCAAAGTAATTTCGAGTCACACCACTTTAAACATCAATAAATTAGAAAATTTTTGCGATTATTGAAAGAAATATTTTTAGAATCTAAATCAACAAGTATTGAAATCTTGCATGTGGAGTAATCCTATACTATTATTTGGGGAGTACAATTTATGGATTACCCTTAATTAACCTTCTCCTTTGTAAGAATTTACTTAAGAATGCCATTAGAAATAAAATTTTATAGAGTAAATTAATTCAACTGATTAAGGTTAAACAAGTCAAATACTATTTTATGCAATTTAATTAATTTAATTTAATTATAAAAACGAAAATCTATTATTAATTTCTTTAAAAAGAATGACCAATCAAAATGAACATATAAGATTTGATATCTAACTTACCATATTAATTTGTTATTAATCATTATACTTCACCTCTCATCTTTATATGATTCTATTTCTATAAATAAATAAATCATTATATCATCTATATAATAAAAAAAAAAAGTAATTTGTTTTTCCGCATATACCAAAATTTGAATTTTTAAAAACGAATATAAATTATTCAATGTATGAAAGAACAAATTTAACGGGTCAAAAATTCATATTTGAGTAATATATTCCTTTTTTTTTAATATCATCAATACTTAATAGATCAAAAATTTATGAAGTATAAATACTCTAATTTGATTTTTTGAAACAAATATTTATAATAGGCGGCGGGTTGAATATAATATATTATATGATGAAATGAGTTATGATCCTTATAACTATTTGAATATTTATATTTAATTTCGTATAATTTTTTTAAAATTCATAATTTTACATAATACAATAAATTTTTTTAAAGATTTTAATTTGGAACATTTTAAAATAGTTTAATTTAATATATTAAAGAATATCATAAATATTTAATAGATTAAAAAGATAAAAAAAATTATAAATACAATAATTTGTTTTTCTAAAAAGATATGTTTAAAATATTTATAGTAGGCGGCAAGCCGGCAAGTTAAATGTAATGTATTATATGGTAGAAAATTATGATTTTCATAACAGATGGCATTTTAAGATTTTATGATGAGATGAGTTAAATAAAGTTTGACACTTCTAAATATTTGAAAATTTGATTCTGCAAGCAATTTTGAAAATAATAAATAATAGATTGTACCGCAATATATTCATACGGATTGTAAAATGAAAATATAGACTCCACACACAGATTGAATTTGGTATTATTATATACCAAATATATGTTCATAACATATTTGATTATGTGAATAATTGGTAAATTCCGTAATTAGCTCAAACAAATATTTATTTCAACAACCAATGAATCAGAATTTGAAAAAATAATTTCCTAAATTAATTCAAAATAATAGCTAATTTTCTTAAGTAATTCAAAATAATCTACGTTTTAGATGCGATTCATTTATGATATTTTGATTTTTGATCTAACTAAATTATATGCACTCTCATTTTGTGGTTGTTAACATAAATTAACTCATTGTTCAAACAATATTAATTTTTTTTAAATAATCTTATTTTCCGTTTTCATATCTTAAAAAAAAATATCCATAATTGAATACTATAGAAAAATGAAAATATATTCATTCTAATATTATACATAGGGACTGACAAAAAAATATTATTTTTTCACTTACTATTATAATATATCACAACTTTATTCTAAAACATAAAATTTATAAATTTTGTAATAAATGAAATTCAACCCGTACTGTAGTACGGGTGATGATCTAGTAGGGTTGTATATGCGGTGACAATAACATTGTAGGTGTTTAAAATCTTGATGCTTTTTATGGCACAACGATATGATTTATAAGCTTTTATCTAAGATTTTAATCCACATTTAGTAAATCTATTTTTTTTAAAAAAATTTGTTTATATATCGAAGATTTCTTCCATTCACCTTATTTTCTTTTGAGCTAGGAATGAACTCTTATATGTTTTTGGAAGTTTATGCATTCCGAAAGTCCCAAAACAACCAAAATTTGTTTTGCTTCTTAAATCTTAGAGTGTACTCATTCATTCTTTTATGAAATTTCTATTGGCTTATCAACAAATCAACAATGGTAACACTTAAAAAGTATTTTGAAAGTAAAGATGAATCTGGTTAAAACTTCAAACTAGAACTATACAAATCAGTTCATATGTAAGTTTTACATTGAAAATAGAAAACCCCCAAAAGAAATCCAAACCAAAGCCCATTGCGAATGCAATGAACCATGCTTGCTTTTCTAATAAACCCCAAATTAGTGATTGACCAGAAGAGAGAAAAATAGGAAAAGCAGAACCGGGTTTTATCGGGTCAATTAGATTTAACCGGTACCGGTTATTTATATATTTTTCCCCTGTAAAATATTCCCCTCCGCTCTCTTCTCTTCTCTCTTTGCCTTTCTCTTTCACAGTCAGAGCTCTTGAACGGAGAATCTCGCTCGCGCCGTCAACTTTTTGTTGAGAAGAAATTTCATCTGTTTTCGATCCAAAGAGTTGGAGAGCTTTGATCCCGAAATCTCCCTTCTTGCTTCCCCAATTCGATTTCCTTTACAAGCTAAGCGCTTGATCTCGCTATCTCTCAGGTAAGAGGATCGAGCTATACAAACAGTATAACACCATGTTTTACTAATTTTGATGGATATATTTGCTTTGGATTTTCAAGTGTTCTCGCTTTTCTGGGTATTGTTAAGATTGGAGTTTTTGTTTCTTATTCTCTGAATCTGTTGATTGATTCGTTTGATCCATTAATGTTTGTTTCGAAATTCAAAAGCATGCAAATTTACAGATTGTTCGTTAATCGGTTTCGAGGCTAAAACCCTGACTTGGTTTTGTTCAAGTGAGAGTTTTTTAGTTTTTTTCTATATGTGGGATATTTTAACTAACTCCATGAGTTTCTGCCATTGTTTGGGGTTTTGTGGAATTCGGATTCTTCAACTAATATAGAACTTTGGACTGATATGTTGAACATAGAATTTGCAACAAGTAAGATTAGTATGAATAGATGGAAAGCTTTTATTGTTTCTTGTGAAATGAGTTGTTCAAACAGCACCTTGGTTTGGCATCATTGTTGTTGTTGATTTGATAGATATGGATCGTTGAAGATGATACCTATGTACATGTGTAGAACTAATTTGTTCATTATGAAACGATGGAGTAGGTTGTCGTGTGTGCTGTTAATATATCTTGTTTTTCACCTTTTACTGACAAGAATTTTGAATGTTTTGCATTCCCTTAGAGACAGCTGAGAGCTGAGGATACTGGAAGGAATCTTAAATGGCTGAACTTCCAGGTCAAATAAGACGTATGAGCGGTGGAATTAGTCAATTGATAGAGCAGATATACGGGTTTTCAAGAAGATGTTTGTTTCGGGTCATATCTGTGGGTCCTATACCTAGTCATCTCGCCTTTATCATGGATGGAAATAGGAGATATGCAAAAAAGCACGGTCTAGAAGATGGGTCTGGTCACAAAGTGGGGTTTTCTGCGCTTATGTCGATGCTGCAGTACTGCTACGAGCTAGGTATCAAGTATGTAACGATATACGCATTTAGCATAGATAATTTTAGAAGACAACCTGAGGAGGTTCAGTCTCTAATGGATTTGATGTTGGAAAAGATAAAGTCTTTGCTTGAGAAAGAGAGTATCGTGCATCAGTATGGGATTCGGGTCTATTTTATTGGTAACTTGGCGCTTCTAAATGACCAAGTGAGAGCTGCTGCCGAAAAAGTCATGAAAACCACAGCTAAGAATAGTCGGGTAGTGCTTCTCATTTGCATTGCCTATAACTCGACAAATGAGATCGTACAAGCTGTCAAGAAATCTTGTATTAACACGTCAGACAATATGGAAGCATATGGAAACGATAAACATGAGGATAGAGATAGTGATATAGAAGGAACAGATATGGAGAACCAAGAGAAGAGGATACAGTTGGTGGATATTGAGGAGAATATGCAGATGAGTGTGGCGCCGAATCCTGATATACTCATCAGGAGTTCAGGAGAGATGAGGCTAAGCAATTTCCTTTTATGGCAAACCGGTAATACCCAGCTCTGCTCCCCGGCTGCTCTGTGGCCTGAGATTGGTCTGAGGCATCTACTCTGGGCTGTATTGAACTTCCAAAGAAATCAGTCATACTTGGAGAAGAGGAAGAAACAATTGTGATTGTCCTGAAGGAGACTGAAGTGAAGGATATACAAAAGCTCTCTTTTCTTTTTGGCTTTGTAATGTGATGTGATGCTCTTGTGGTATACTATCAAAAGGAAACTTGGGATTACATAGAACAAGCGATGTATTTTACACACGAAGAACTCATTTGAGTTTTTCTTTATGAACCCTTAACCAAAAGTCCTCCCTAAAGACATCTTACTAATACTTCCTGTTCTGTTCTTGTAAGATCCAGACTCTTAACATTTGTGTTTCACGAGTGTTTTCTCAAACCAAAATTAGATCTAAACCAATAAATTTAGATCGTTAATGGTTCAGATTGATTGCATATACTATATAGTATGGAATTTCGGTTTAGCGATATTAAAACCCGAAAAACCGGAATTTGTACCTAAACCGTACCGGGCGTGAACTCGGGTTCGGTAGGTTAGAGTACACACAGTCGTGGCTAAACTTGCAATTGAAAACCTAAAAAGTCGCGACTCTGCTCTCTGCAAAGATGGTTCTACTTTCGGCTTAAAGAGCCATGTTTTCGAGTCTTTGCCATGGCGGGTTTCATTAGACGCAAAGGAAATGTATTCTTTCGGTCTCAAACTCTAGCTGCGGTCTACTCCAAGGTGGGTCATTTCTCCTCTTCGGATTCTCTCGTTTGGTTGAATAATCTCTTTGCGGCAATTGGTCGAACACTTCATCTGCGGGTTTCTTCTTGTCTCTAGTTACAGAGAAGTAATTGCACGCTTGCTGAGGGAGTCATGGAGAAGTGTTCTAGCATTCGTTCAGTTATTGATGAAGATATAAATTCAGGTGCTTTTGTGTTTTTGTGATACTGGTTCAGACTTAGTTACATGTTCTAAGTTAAAGGTTGTTCCTTTTTTGTTTTTATTGATTGATTTTAACAGTTGATACATCGAAGTGGAAGAAGGTACGAGCAAGTGATGCTGGAATTAGAAATTCAATGATCCCTGAATCCTCTATGAATGTCTTGAGACTCCTTAGACGGCAAGGTTTGTGTTTTGTATGTTTTAGGTTTACTGTTAGCATTGATGTAGAAGTATAAGAGGAAGCTGAACTATTTGTTTCTCGTCTTAGGTTTTGATGCATACCTTGTTGGTGGATGTGTAAGGGATTTGATACTGCATAGAGTGCCGAAAGACTATGATGTGATCACTACAGCTAATCTTAAGCAGGTTTAGTGGATTGATTTTCTAATTATGTTACCTTGTTCAAGACCTTATGTTTTGATTACTGCTTCACGCATTTCTTTTGATTTGTAGATCCGGCGGCTGTTTCATCGTGCTCAGGTTATTGGGAAACGGTTTCCTATTTGTCATGTGTGGATGGGAGGTTCGATAATTGAGGTCAGTTTTTTGGCCTTTACATTGGTTTTTTCCTAATTTTAGAGTTGTGTTATTTGTCTTCTGTTTAAGGCTTCTGTATGGTTTGGGTATTTCCTGACACTCCTCTTATAGGTGTCCAGTTTTGATACCGTGGCACACAGTGACAGTGAGCATGAAAATGATTTGGAGAAGTCTAAAGAGAAATCTGGTGTTTCACTGGATACCGAGGCAAACAAAAATAACAGCCTCTTCACAATGTATTCTGGTTGGGATGTAAAAGACTGTAATCGTTGGAGGAATAGCTTGCAGCGGGATTTCACAATTAACAGGTGGAGTTTCTGAAACATTTGCTTGTACCGAAAGGGACTATTTTTTGTTTTGGCTGCATCATACACAATTACATACCCACTTACTTGTGGTATTAAATCTTGGTGCAGTTTGTTCTATAATCCCTTTGAGTTAAAAATTTATGACTACGCCAATGGAATGGAAGACTTGACGGATCTTAAGGTGACTAACTTAGCTTACTTTTTGTGGACATATCTATAGTATCTCTTATGTTATTAACCATTGTTCGCTAATAAAAATGCAGCTTCGTACACTTGTCCCTGCTCATTTGTCATTCAAGGAAGATTGTGGTATACCTTATTTATTCTCCTTACGGCCTTGTATCTAGACAAGGTACTTTATGTAGTTTAAAGTCTTAACCATTGGGTCATGGTTTTCTCCAAATACAGCTAGAATTCTTAGGGGGTTAAGAATTGCAGCACGATTGGGTCTATCATTGTCAAAGGATATTGAGACTGCAATACCTGAATTTGTACCTTCCGTTGCAAATTTGGACCAGGTACTTTGACTGCTTGAACTTGGATACTTGAATCACTTCCTTTATGTTAAATAATATTTGTCCATGGTCTCAGCTATTAAAATCATGCTATGTCTTTGCTCAGTTTAGATTAATCATGGAAATGAATTATATGCTTGCGTATGGAGCTGCTGCGCCTTCCATCCTTCTTCTCATGAAGTTCAAACTACTTCACGTGTTACTTCCTTTTCAGGTATACCCATTTGCTTACTCGTCAATCTTCAACTCTCTCTCTCTTTCTTTTTAACACTCTTAACTTGGATGAATTTGAATTTCAGGCAGCTTACCTGGATCAAGCTAGTGAAACATCTCTATCAAGTTCCTTGATGCTAGTGGTACGTGATATCTTCTTGCAGGGACATTTTCTGGTGAACCCATTTTGACATTTCTGAGTTTGGTTTATATGGTTTCTTCAGAGGTTATTTTCCAATATGGATAAATTGGTTTCCTGCGATCAACCTGCTGACCCCAAACTATGGTGCGTTATTTTCTTTATATCAATAGGAATATGAATCTTCTCTTCAATAAGCTCTGGTTAATGTCCTGATTTGTTTTACTCAGGATTGCAGTGTTGGCCTTTCACATTGCACTAGTGCGTAACCCCCAGGAGGCTATTGTGGTGCGTGCTTTCGCCGCTTTGCTCTTCCATGGAAACTGGAACAAAGCTGTTGAATTTGCTAGAGAACATGAAACTTCAGTAGTCGAATACGCTCCTGAGGTATCTAAATCTTCGAGAAAGAGATCTGATGAAGATCTTGCAGAAGCAGTTTCAGAATTCACATGTCTTTTAAAAGATTCCCAATACGTTCTGACTGATATAGAGGCTCTCCGCGAAGCCCTATACCTATACCCAGATTTCAAATTCTCTGGTCTGGTAAGTACAAACAAAGTGCATTTTACTATTCGGTTTGAGTATAAAGATTTATTGTGTTAAGACATATATACGCGGTTCAAGTTTGCTACTCTATGTTTGGTCTGGTGCTCAAATCAAACTAGCCAGATATCTGCTTCACCTTTTCTTAATCAAGCAGTTAACGTTATAATTGATTGATGTGGTTTCTCAGGTGTTTATACCGAAGAAAAAGGCGAGAGATGTAGCAGAAGGGTTTGCGAGATTGAGTGATGTTGAATCATACGAAAGCAAAAAGGAGGGAATCTCTATTGACTATCTCTCACTTGGGAAGGGAAATCCATGCGAAGTAAGATTTGTTCTTGGCAAAATCATTCTGGACACCATTACAGAAGGTATCGTCATTGAACCTCTAAAGTCTGTCAAGAAGAAGCAGAGCACCAGTAATCAAATTGTTCCAGCAGCTTGCTTGGAGAATAAGGATGAGTTGTTCGTTTCTAAATCCTCAAAGGAGGATAACAAGAATCAAACTCCAGTCCATGACTCAAATGCATCATCTGTTCTAAAGATTTTGAAGAGGACGAGAGAAGACAGTGAGCAGAAGAATGACCAAGAGACCGAGGTATGTCCAAGCACCATCTCTGGTCCAGCAAAGAATCAAGATCAGTCGGTAGTTCAAAAGCTGAAAAGACGGCGTAGCAAAGAAGCACCAGTCTCTGAGCCGCCTAAGCAAAAGACTTCAAAGAGGTCGAGATTAGATGACCAAGAGGCGGTTGGAAGTCTTTCTGTTCCAGCAAAAAATCAGCATCAGAGTAACAAGCATGACACAAATGCACCGATCTGTGAGCCGCCTAAGCAAAAGACTTCAAAGAACCGTTCGAAGGAGGCACAAAAAGTGAAACACAACTACTTACCCGTGAAGGAGATTCAAGAAGCAAAACAAGGCTTCGTTACTGACAAATCTATGAGTGATCTTCTAAAAGTTCTTGAGAAATCAAGTCAGCAAGTGTCTAGCAAAGAGGAGAGCGACTCTTTATTATCAGAGAAGACGAAGAGACCGAGAAATCTCTCAAGTCTCTTCAGGTGAAATGGTTACCCTATCGGTGTTTAGGAATTCCTAAGTCAAGGTGGAGACCTTCTTGACGAAACAGAAGGTCTCCCTTCAGTCGCGGTCTCACTTCACAATTTTTAGGTACGACATGTAGTAGTAATAACTTGAACCAATTTGTTTCATTTTGTTTTTTATTTGGTCACTGGTAGAGAGAAATTTTGGCCCTGAGTAAATTATATATTTATTTGTATCTTTGTTTCATTTAGATTCACATAGTTATCTTCGTTTCTATAGAGATGACATTAGTTTGTTTCTTTATCAGAAGCCAGAACCATTATTCCAAAAGTCCTTCACATATAACAAATAGCGTATGAACTGATTCGTAACACACAGTATCAATGTACCCATGTCTGTAAACAGGATAAGCAAGAAAATAAACAGAAATGAAACAAATAGACATTGTTTAGTCAAATGTTATTTATTTTTATTTTACTTTTAATTCCTAGGTTATTTGCATATATTCTGTAATTTTTTATAAAGTTGTCTTTCTTTTGAGGATGTCTCATATTATCAATAAAGTTACACAACACTGATATAGACTGTCTCAAAGTTGTCTGATATTGTCACAATTTTATTATGACATCAAGTTTTTCTAAAAAAAATCATATGCTTACGTTACTCATATCATATATTTATATATTATGCATATATCGTTCATATGTTTACGTAACTATATAATTTATCTTTTCTTATTGTCACAATTTTGTTTCTATCTTGCCGACAATGAAATTATATGGTGTAACACACTCTTCCGATGGATGTAAATAATTTATTAAAATTCAATAATACAACATATGAACATTTATAAATTTTATAAATAAGCCAACATTTATATTATATAATTTAATAATGAGTATAATATAACTACAAATTGTGTTTTATATTGTGTACTATGCATAGTAAATCTATTTAAAAAATTAAAATGCTGCATTTTCTAAAATTAAAATAAATATTTTTATATAATTTTAGTTAAGCTTGCAAAATTCTTTTTAGAAAATAAGAATGATAATTTCGACCATATCTAGTGTAGTATAAAATAAAAGAAGACATCAAATAAGAAGAAAAAAAAAGGAAAGATCGTGGGTGGCGATGAGAACACAAAAAAGGAATTCCATCAGAATTGAGGGGGTAATTCGTTAAATTCCCTCTTTTCAGTATTTTATATATATATATATCTTTAATAAATAGGTAGGGGTAAGCCCTAAATTGACCGTTCTTGATCAAGAGGCCAATGACGATTCCAGAGCTACCACAGGATTTGGTAGAAGAGATACTCTGTCGCGTTCCGGCTACAGATCTGAAACGATTAAGATCTACATGCAAACGATGGAACCGTTTATTCAACGATGATTGTAGATTCGCAAGAAATCACTTCAATAAATCCCCAAAGCAGTTTATGCATCTCATGTTGACAAAGCACTTCAATATTGCTCCGTTGAGCATTAATCTCAATAAAACTATTCCATCTGTAGAGTTAAAAAGTGAGCTTAGCTTACCCGATCCTCGGTCTAAGTATTCAGTTCAATTCGATATAAACGAAGTCATTCACTGTGACGGAGTCTTGTTATGCTACTCCCAGGATGACGAATCTATAACCTGGGTTTGGAACCCATTAACTGGTGAAAAAAGGTGGATCGATACCAGCAATCCTCGCGACGGATGCCGCTTCTTCGATATCGGATACAGCCGCCAAGGAGACAGCAGCAATAATAATAAGAGCTACAAAGTCTTGAGCTGTTATCGTAAAATCAACGTTTTTGAAATGTACGATTTTAACTCTGATACATGGAGGAGTCTTGGTGATATATCTCCAGGTTGGTGCTTGCTATACTCTGAAGTGTCTGTGTCTTTGAAGGGAAATACTTACATGTTAGCTATAGATTATACAAAACCGCCCTTAAGTGTCGTATCCGTGCTCAAGATTGATTATTCAACAGAGAAATCTGTTGCTGTGCCTCTTCCCTATCAGTGTAGGACATTTGAAACTTCATGTATTTCGGTTGTTAGAGAAGAGAAGCTTTCTGTGTTGTTACAGGGAGATAAAGGATCCAAGACTGAGATATGGGTGTCAAATAAGATTGATGAGACCACCGCCAAAGAAGCGGTGGTGTCATGGAGCAAGGTTTTTGCATTGGATTTGAGCCCTGATCTTGAAATTCCTCATGAGGGAAGTTTCTTGCTAGATGAGGAGAAGAAAGTCTTGGTGTATTGTGACACATTGATTGATGTTGAAGATGAAGGCGATACCAAAAACATTATATACTTTGTTGGCGAGGATAATATAGTCACAACAGTGGATTTTGGAGTTGATAAAGTGCAAGTATGTTGGCACGCTATTCTTAATTATGTTCCAAGTTTGGACAAAATCAAGCGACCTCAAGGCAAAAGGAAAAGAGGTGACTAAACAAGCTCTACATAATTTATCTAATAATGTTTTAAAATTTCAAGCTTTTTTTAATTCAGTGACAAAAGTGATTTATAAAACATGTACAGAGTTATCTCCTTGTCTCTTCTCTGAGTTTTCTTTTTCATCCAAGTTACAGTTGTACTACTATAAATCATCACCGCCTCTCAAAATCTAACATTAAGCCAAGCATGATGTTGCAAATATACTAAGTACCGTGTATTTGTAACATCATGTAATCTATATAGCTTAACCTCTGTATGTCTGCTGCCACATTTGCCCCTTATAAACAATATTATCTATTTCCTCTGTTTCTGTTGTGTGGAAAGTGTAAGGCAGTTTAAGTATGTAAAAATTAAGATGCAGATCAAATTACTGTGAAATCAGATAATAAGAAGAGAGTTTGTTAACTGTACCATAAATATATAATTTAAAGCTGACAAATTTTATTAAAAAAATAGACATTTAGACACTTTTAGTGAAGTTCATGTAGGTTATTTGAATATTTTGATGGTTCAGGTTGAAATAAGCATTTTAACTTTGTTCGTATATGAAAGGCACGATGGAAAAAGTTCGGGTTGAAATAGGCCATTTTCCCGCTTTACGTGTATTTAACTCTGAACCAGACCAAAATGTTTCAAAAAGTTTGCATTTATTTGTAAAAACATTTATTTTTCTTTTGAATATAATTTAACATTAAATTCAAAAAAAACAAGAGACAAGTCACATTCCTATACTTAGCCAAAAAATCAACTTTATTAATAACTTAGCTTACATTGTTGCCATACATAAACTCAAACATGCACATAGGTAACATATGTCAAATCTATTACAAAAGAACTATCCTTCACGGTCCAAAAAAATTATCTAAAGCTTATTCCTCTTCGGCATTGTCTAAACTTTCGATATCGGATGTCCAAACACAAAGCCAGGAACAAAAATCCTTCTCAAACAACTTGTAGTATATGGAATCCGGGCAACGATGGTCACACTTATAACAAATCGGTCGAGTGTGACTACTGTTGCCAAGAATTTTCATGGATACAGAGCCGAAATAGAACGTGTAACCTGACTTAATATAAATGGAAGATCCGAATATACACTCAAGGTGGATAGTGATACAACATTTGTTGCATGAGTAGAACCATTCTCTTGAATTCAATTCTTTCTCGCATACTTCACACCAATATGCTTTCTTTGCATCTTCTCCATAGCAAAGCGAGAGAAGATGTGCATCATATTTGTAATATAACTCATATGGAATTGTAGCACACCGATAACACATAGCAAATGAGCAAATAGTACATTGCAGATAATACTCATCACGAACACTATCTTTGCAACCATCACAAGAAATGTTACCTTTTCTAGAATAGGATGTGGAGATGAATAAAGGATGTTCATGACTTTTGTGGGTGAAACAATCAGGAACTAAAATGCATCGAAAATCTATCTGAATCGTTATCTCATCGTCGCAATCAGTTTTTGAGCATTTGTACCTGAAACCAGTGGACTCACGGGCGCAAGTTGAACAACTTGTGGAACTGTAATCGAGTATAGGAGAAGGGTCTAGAGCAAGAGGATGCTTATGCAATGCATGAGCCAATTTTCGAGGAAGACCAGCACATACCTCGTGAAGAAAGAAGTCACATTGCATACAATTGTAGAAATCATAAGAGTCGATACGAAGGATGCACGCTTGACATTGTTTCTTTACGTCTCGAACACTATCATACTTCTTAAGCTTTAGATGATGTTCATGACAAAAATATTTTATCATATTATCACCCACAATCTTGAATGGCGCAATATCTTCAGTTTCATCGGGTTCTTCTGGTTCCCATTCGAGTTCTCTTCCATCCCAAACGTGCCTATGCGTTGCGCATTTGGAATGGGCAACATAAGAGCAACCTTCATGATCGCAAGAATACTGGCCATATTTAATGTCGACCGTCTTGTAGCAAACTCGACAAAATATAGTTGTGGGTGGAAGGAAAGAAGTGTGAGAGAGACGATGTGGGTGTCGCGTGATTTTTATTACACGAGGTAAGTCGATACAACTCTCATGAACCACATAGTTGCATTGGAAACAAGCATAACTTGGTTCCAACAAACTAACCAGCCCACAAGCTTCACATGGAATTAGGAGTGGCCAAGGAAATAAAAAGAGGGAATGATGGTGGCTTTTGGGATTTGTAATAGTAAGAGTTGGAAAATTTTGGGAGCAAGAGAGATCCAAACAAAAGTTACAGATAGAACAACAATAGAATTGTGATCCATCTCTCAAATCATCTCCACACCAATTACATTTTTTGAATATGTAACCATATTCGACTTGGTTAGATATAATCTCTATTTCAGTGTTTTGAGTGGTGAGGGTGAGAGGATGTTGAAGGTGATAAGGGTGTGTGAGCTTCCTCGGATACACGTGACAAATCTCGTGGAACTCAACATCACAAGTGGTGCAGGAGTAATGGAAGGTAGAACATGGCGAGGGTTCTTCTTTGTCGCACGCGAAGCAACCGGATGGAGGGATTCTTCCGGCTCTACGGGAGAGGGTGTGAGGGTGAGTTGGATGAGACAAACGGCATATTGGCTCTTCTTCATTACCAGCCATTTTTTTTTTCTTTTACAGTTTTGGTTATGATCCAATATGTTTGTCTAATACATATATCCTCCCACCTCTCCCATCGTGTGGAGATGACTTGACTAAT